GAGCAGAGTATAATACATAGTTATACAATTAATATTGGAAAATCATCCGGTGAAATTGGTTATCAAAGAGACATTTCAATTTTGATATTATGCTTTTAACGCAATTGGAATGCAAAACTGGGAAACATAATGGTAATGAATATTTATGTCGTCTGCTTTACCCTACATATCAATTAATTTATATATCAACTCCTAAAAATGTTAAGTAAATGTTTATTATATTACAATAATGTATTAACGGTATATTCCACGGATTTATATAGTCGGAGTTATTATTGTTTAAACTATGGTAAGTATTTTCTGATGACAAATACCGAATTACATTTCGCTAAAATCTACTGTTTTATGACCAAAAGCATGCAATTGTCGTTTAACTTGCATCAAATGATCAATAGTCTATTTAAACCAGGCCGGGTCTAAGAAGGGGGGTTTGGGGAGAATAGTATTTAAACAAAAAATCTGTATTTATGTTACTTTTAATCCACCTCAAAATAAAAGATTAACAATATGAAATAGGTTGAAACAGAAACATGTGTGCGTAATTTTACTCATATTTCCTTTTGAGACTTTGAAAGTGAAAAATGTACATTGTTCTCTTTGTCATTCTTACGGAGCACAAGGCAATTGTTGTTAATTGTTACGTATAAATGAAACATATAAATCCAAGGAAAATCAATAATCTCACTACAGTCTGTTTGCCACTAAAGAAATTTGGAGATTTCATTTAAACATTGGTTTCAATGTAGGCCCTAATATATTTTTTGTAAAATCGTGGGTCAAAAGTTATAAAAAAAAAACTATAAATCATTGCATATCTAGTAGCTGGTATACAACCCGTTTGCTGTTTTCAAAGCTCAGCTGTTTCTGTCGTCGCCGAAAGGGTTATTCCAAGCCATACGACCTCGGTGCAGTCGTAAAAATAAACAGAAAACATAAAACTACTCTTTTATTGTAAGGCTGAGTCGTTATCTCGTTTTACGTACTTGTAGTTTTAGAATAAAGAAGGATGTTATTCTAACTATAAACACGGTTTTAGGCCGGGGCCACACGTGGCGGATCGTCCGCGCGGCTTATGATCGTACGATCATAAGCCGCGCGACGATGTCCCGGCCACACGGAGCAGATGAACCGCTTCCGGTTGAGTTTTCCCAGCCTACGTACTGAGATTCTAACATGGTTTAATTCACTCGTTGTAGTCATGGAAGAAACACGTATGTTACTTTGTGCATTAGAAGCGTGTGGTGAGCTAGAGCCTAAGGCAAACCGAAATCGTTGGGTCCATCCTTTCATAACCGATAAACCATTTGTGTTCCAAACCTTTTACGAGCACATGCGAAACCATAGTTCGGAGTCTTTTTTTGTTACCATCGCATGTAGATAGCATCGTTTGACGAGCTACTTCAATTGCTTTGACCGCATATAACTAAGGAAGATATACTCATGAGAAATGTACAACATGAGAAATCCCACATTATCTTTAACAAGTTCTATTGATTTGTCTCTATCGAACATTTTACACCTATAAACCGTAATGCATAAGCACAAACTAAAAAAAAACACTACAAATGCTTGAAAATGAGCTCCAACCGCGCGGACAATCCGTATCGTGTGGCCACTCTCATAAGACTACGTGTGTCATCCCCTCCAACGCGGCTTATGATCGCGCGGACAATCCGCGAATTTGCAAAAAGTAAGTCGTTAAATAAAGAGAGATTTAGTAAAAATATGACCACAACAGATTTAATGAAATTAAATATGTGATTTTTTATTTTACTAATTTGCTAGATCGTCATCTCTAGTTGGGACGATGTATGTGTTATTATATCTACAATTAGAAGGGTCTCGAGAAACATGTATAAGGGATAGTATTTTTGCGGACCAATATTTTTTACCCTACATGTCTTTTTTTATTTCTGACTGGAGGTGTGATTGAGCATAAATACATGGCTGGGTAGCTGAGCGCTTATAACGCTCACATAACAGTCAAAATGTTGCAGTATAGATTCTGATAAAAGTCAGAAATTTTTTGATAGTTCGACTGGGCCCAGCTCCAGCTGTCCCTGATAATTAAGCTTTAAATTAACTAGCTCTTACCCACGGGCTTCACCCCGTTTGACTTCATAAGTATTAATAAGACTTTTGATTGGTTAGTTAAAATAAACAAAACAGAATACAGTAAAATAATCACACCTGATTTTAATAAGGTAATAAATTGAAAGAATAACAGACAAAGGTATTTTTGAACATTAAAAATATGGAAAGGTCCCTTAAAAAAGGAATTACGACCTTAGAGGGTAATTAATATGAATAATAGATAGTTCTGCGCAAGGTTTCTCGTCATGACGAACATTTTAAGTATTTGGTTTATGGGGGTGTGACTTGTAGTTTTCTCAAAAGTTCATGGGTACTTTGGGCTTTATATATGGATTTTCCTGTCAAAGGAAACAGCTGACATCTCACTCCATTCTACACTTATCCTTCACTCATATAATACATGAAAATAGAAATAAAACTGCAAGTTCAGATTTTACGCTAATGTTAAAGACAAGGTTTACATGGATTCTGTAAGATCTATAGTTTTACCAGGTGTTTCCATTATTTATGATCATTATAAGTTAAATAAAACCAGTTGTGGTAGTTTGACAGTGAATGATGAACAAAGTTGGATTGTGGTCCATGAATCACTTTAACATTCATAACTTCTGAGGTAGCCTGCAACAACATTTTCATACTATGTAATGTCAAAGGACCTCGAAAACCTTTGATCCATTCATGTATTTTGGTTATGATTTTAAAATGGTATTAAATACATAGGAAATTCAGTTAATTCCATTACATTTATAACGTTTGACCAACTTAAATTGGTACTTTATCACGATATGGGAGAACTAGTGTTTAGACTAAACCAATAAAAGCCCTGTTTAAGTCATTGGCAATACACAATTGTTACATTAAAAATTTTTATGAGCAACATGACAACCATAATGAAAAGTGAATTTTATTATTACTTTGATACTTTTTAAATTAATTTGATGGGAAATATTTATGATAAGCATAAAAAAATATTGATATAAAAATCATTGAGCTTTGACTGAATAAAAAAACCGCTAACAATTTAAAACAAAACTCGACTTCACTGTTGACTCCGTTTTGATAAGTATAATAACAGTTTTATAAACCCAGTTGAGTGCGGTTTCATGTTGTAACGGGATTTCCTGCTGTCAATCCATCTGTAATCCCAGAACATAGCACCAGTGATGAGTAGAGGAACGAACCTCTGCCTGAAACGTGAGTTGCAAGTCAACTACTTCAACTGGTCGTCAGTCATCTAACTTCTAGTTGTCGATGGGGTGTATGGAAAAAATCATTTAAATAAATAAGTTACACAATTTATTTAACCAAATAAATTATCTTTCGGTCAAATAGATCAGAAGTTTGGTATTCAGGATATTTCTGTTTTCAATGTTTAACTCTTTACCTTCTAAGACTGATATATCGGGGAGTGAGCTGGCGTAGTGGTTAGAGCACGGGACTTCAGTCTCTGAGGTCCCGGGTTCGATCCCTACCAAGTCACCAATGAATTTTATCTAAGTGATAATGCCACAACCCCTCGGTCTAGCCTGAAGAAATGAGAAAAACATCCCAGGCTCGTGCCTAGCGTCCTAGGAAAAAAAAAGATTGATATCCCGGACGCAAGAGTAACTTTCGTATCATTCGAGTAACATCCAGTAACAACTGTTTATACAATAATAAATAAATGTAACTGATAACCTGGGAGACCACTTCAGAATGAATACGCTTGGGATTTTGGTTTTATTGGCCTCTATAGGCTTTGTGGGAGAAGCTTTTCTTAAAAAGTAGCAGAAATTGGTACCGATTGACAATTACTAAATAATCCATAGAGTCCGAATTAAATTTAACTTTAATGTCAGGGAAACGAAAGAGGATTAATGCTTAGAATCATATTAACACACTAGGTTAATAAACGATGTTATTTTAATACACATTGTTAAATAAGCATTAAATAGGTGTTATATTCATTTAAATATGTAAAAAAGTCAGTTTTTATATAAAGTTAGATTTTAAACCCTAATATTACATTCATGAAAGGATGTGAAATAAAAATTGTTCATAGCCTTAAGTGATGAGTTAGTAGTTTGATTTACATTTAGAATAAATATATTTCTGAGAGAGAAATTAGACTATGAATTTACATACTTGTTCAGGCCGTTTAATTTGAATGCCTTTTACAGTGTTGTACAGTAAATTCCCGATTACGAAACACGTAATTAGATTTTTGTTTAGATGGAGGGGATCTCTATAAATACAGACTTTAGAAGTCCGCTTAGCATGATTTGTTTCCTTCATTAAAAGTTTGACAGCCGCCCTATAATATGTCCGATTTCCATCCTAATCAGCATACTAAAAATATCTCATTTGAATATATAAAACATTGTTTCTAAATTGATAAAACAGCAGATAAGAAACTATTTTTACAAAGTTGTCTGTACATCCTTGTGCAATATAAGTGACTTTCATAAACATTAGTTGACGTTTTATTGTTCCAAACATCTCCAATAATAAGCACGTTTAATAATAAACTCATAACAAAACTGCGAGAAACACACTCACTTTATATTAGTGTCTATTTTGACTTACCTTTTATATTTTATCCTATGGGTAGTTCTATGTGTACAAGATACTGAGATGTTTTAAATAATAACAATATTATTTTAACATTTTTGTAATGTATTTCAACTAAAAAACGTACTTGAACATAAATATTAAAAACATTTACTTATATTCACAAATTAAGGAATCGAGTGAATACAAACTTAAATGGATCAAAAGTCAAAACAATCTTTACAAATTAAATTAACTAAACCATATACAAAAACGAAAAATAATTAATTTGATAAAAGATTAAAGTAACATTAGTGTTAATAACTTTATAAATACTTATGGTCCAGTTTCCTAGATAGTACACATTTTATGACTTGCAGGCGAGGATAAAGGAATTACGTGTCAGAGGAGGGTAGAAGACGGTCCTCGCTAAATGCAAGATGGTCCAAAACCAAGCCCATCGAAGATGTAAGATACCGCATGTAGAATGAGAAACAACTCTTTTGTGTATTCTGTATTGCGCTTAAACTAATAAATGTTTTCATATCCTAATATCTTTGTATAAATTTTAGCATGATACATGTACTGTCATACTGCATGTTGTCACGTAAATAATTGTACAAATTATATGTTGAAATGCTCTTTATAGTTATTTAGGATGCAACTGTAAACAGAACTTAATCAATCCGGGTTTTTAAGTACGAAAATTACATTATTTTTCAAAAGATAACGTACTTTACCTGAAGAACCGACGTTTAAACAAATTAATTATAAAACTAAGATATACACACAAACCAACAGTTTCAATCAAGATAACATTTCAGGTTTAGAACCGTGAACATGTACTCTAAATAAACATAAATATTATTCAAGATATTTATTATTAATTTGTTGTTGTTGTTGTTACTAATGAATAAGAAACTTTGTAAATATTTTTCCGGCTGATGTTAACTGTTTCGACCAGTGTAGATACTTATGAGAAACTGAAACAACTAGACTTTCTAATATTAACAGTAAACCAAATACTTCACTCGTGCACTATGTAAAATTTACGATAAGTTGTTACAAAACGTACACGGTTTTCAGTGGGATATCTATTATTTAAATGTTGACTTATGAAAAACTCCATGGTGGTCAAGATATGAATAAATCTTGGCAATCCAAACAATATATTTATTGGTTTACTGTGGGACTGCTAACACTTCCAGGGACAATAGTATTTGTATCCAAGCAAAGGTAAATTATCCAGTCTCTAATCAGGACTGATGATTACCAATGGGACTGGTAAAAATAATGAGGCATACTACACACCAAATATTAACACTTAACAGTATTCGTGTCACTTAGTCGTATAATGTTGGAAGATCGTATTTTATCCGTACAGTTTAATTTTTAATATTTACAAACGTTGGGAAAACGCAACTTTACCACAATCGAGGTGGAAATGATGGCAGGAGAAGGTAGAAAAGTAATTTACAAGAAAGTGCAGCTGTGGGTGGGAGGTCTAATCAGCCATCTGAAGGTCTAGAGATGTTTAGCCGCAATCAGCAGTTTAGGAGGGGCTAAACCCTTCCGTGCTGAGGATCGATGGTGTAAAACACCCGTATTCTCTTCTCTTTCAGTCCATATGTAGTGTTCAACATCTGTATCGTCGTACTGCTGCAAAAAGACTTTTTCACCACACTATGATGTTTTTGGCTGTATTACATACGTTTATTGGTGGCTGAAAGTGTTTTGCTGGCCATGCCAGCTGTCATCGTCATTTGGGGACCGAGCAGGTTTTTACAGCCCGGGGCCGCAAAATTAGCTGTCCGCTTATTTTAAATACACAATCAAAATCCATAGCATTGCAATAGAATTGTGTTATTGTCACCGTTGCCTAGCAACTATTTATTTTTATTTTTGCTGATTCCTCAAATTATTTCTTCACATAACCTTAAAGTTGTAGTTGTGTTGACTATCAGTGTGCATTATTATAGTGGGGAATAGTGGTAATAGGTTATAGTGTGGTGAAAAATAGCGTTCGTACCACGGACCGAAATGGTGTTGCAGCTCTCGATCGATTTAAGTTCTCGACTTTGTCCTCGAACTTAAAAACTATCTCGAGCCGGCAAAACCTCATTTTCGGCCCTAGGTACGAAATATACTATTCAAATACAGTACACACGTAGCAGGGCTCAAGTTATTATTGTTATGATTAGGGCAAAATAAGTTCAGCTAGTGAATTTGTATTATCTGTGTCCCTACGATATGTCAACTCCATCCCCTGATTGCAAAAATCATAGTTAATTAAATATAGGTATATATATATTTTATTATTATTGGCATTTGTGTAAATCATTGAGTCACATGCATTTACTACAAAAAATCTACAATCCATGGTGGTGTAGACCTATTCTCTGGTTTCTTCAAAATTACCCGAGTTTCTGTAAAATTTATCCGTTTTAGTTCAAATCAACTACAGCTGATTCGTTCTGCGATAATTGGAGCAAATCATATCAGCGGAATGTCAGCTAATTACAACCATGGTACTTGAGGTCGTCAGAGGTTTTAAATTAAACCCGACCTGACGATGTACTCAGGTTATCTCAGGGCGGTCGATTTGCACTGCAACGAGTTGTTTTGACAGAAGATCAGTTAATTTAATCCTTTATTTGTTAATAACTTCGGATGCATTTATTTTTAAAATTTCCAAAACCTGGCAAATAGTTCAACAGCAGTTTTTTTATCCAGCAAACCGATCTTAACGCAACTTTGTGTCCTTGCATATACAATTAACAGTCAAAACATTCAACACCAAAATATTAAAACTATACAACAAATTCAGCTTAGCATATAGAATGGTGGGGTACGTCGAAGAATATATTTGATCAAATAGGTCAAAAGGATCTCATCGACCCTCGCTCATTTTCCTACATCGACAAGTGAAGAAACACTGTCTGCTTTTTTAAATGTGTATTGTGGGGCTCCCTCTATTTCTTCCGATATCCGATACATTAAATACAATGACAAATAATGAACAGATCTTTTAGTTTTCAGTAAATTTTATGACCAGACATTCTATCAATATATATTTTCATAGTAGACCTATCACAATGTATAAAATAAAATCTTAAACGTATCATCAACTATAAATGTATAAAATAAAATCTTCAAGTATAAAAACATTCTTTTAATTATTGTATGAATAATCTACTACCGATCCATTTTATTTTATGAAAATTTTATTACAAATATCATGAAATATGCGTAGCTTACGTAGTTCTTTTTGTCTTATTTTCTAGCAAAACAAACATTGACACGTGCAAAAGCGAAAAGTTTTTCTTGAAAATTATGTCAATATTTTGTCTCTCTCAAAATTCAATATTAGACCAGCCGTGGAGTGGTTTACTTTCGGCAACGTCTGTAAACAGAGACTAAAAATGCTGTAATAGAAACTGTATATTGACGAACAAATAATGGGGACAAACTGAAAATTCCAGAATGAATTTTTCCTAAGTTATTGACAAGCATATTTATTACAAACATTTTAGAATCGGCTGACTAAAAATCGAGTAGTAAAGGAGTACACGAACGTGCCAAACGAAACAACTAAGATCTTGCAAAAATAATCAAACTTTTAGGTTATGCTAAAACTCATAAATTTGCCCTTCATGATAGAACTCATTGATAGGTTTATATTTTTTACCTAACTAGGAACCATAAACATATTTTTTGTTAATTACAGGTTTTGGCATTAGAAAGCTCTTAATTGGAGCTCGGCTTTTAGTTGTTTACTGGCTTTGGGCAAATAATTAGGTAAGTACCTGGGGACCGAGCTTTGCTCGGGGAAAATTATTACTTTACTCTGAAAAGTATTGCAGATACATTAATCCACTCCCAATCTCCACCCTGCTAACCTTCACTACTTACTTCACCACTCCCTACGTCGTGGACCTGTTTGCCCTCCTTCCCTATACCATTTTAGAATTGCAGATACATAAATGCCACAGACAGTTCCCACACTCTGCACTGCTAGCATTACTACTTCCTACACCATTTCCTACGTCATGGACCTGTTTTCCTCTCCTCCCTTCTCGTAGCATTTTAGGATTGTAGATACCTTAATGTAGTTCCCATAAACAGTTCCCAGGCTCCAGACTGCTCGCCTTTACTACTTCCTTCACGACTTCCTACGTCGCGGACCTGTTTCTCCCCCTTCCAATGGCATTTTAGGATTGCAGATACCCTAATTAATCGTCATTAACAGTTTCAACACTTCGGGCTGTTTGCCTTTACTACTTCCTTCACCTCTTCCTACGTCGCAGACCTGTTTCCCTCCATTCCCATAGCATTTTAGGATTGCAGATACCTTAATCTAATCGTCATAAACATTTCCCACACTCCGGACTGCTCACCTTTACTACTTCCTTCACCACTTCCTATGTCGCAGACCTCTTTCCATCCCTTCCCATAGGATTTTAGGATTGTTGATTCTTTAATCTAATCGTCATAAACAGTTTCCACACTCCAGACTGCTCGCCTTTACTACTTCCTTCACCACTTCCTACGTCGCGGACATGATTCCCTCCCTTCCCATAGCATTTTAGGATTGCAGATTCCTTAATCTTATCGTCATAAACAGTTTTCACACTCCAGACTGCTCGCCTTTACTACTTCCTTCACCACTTCCTACGTCGCGGACCTGATTCCCTCCCTTCCCATAGCATTTTAGGATAGTAGATAACTTGTTTTAATCGTTATTAACAGTTCCCACACTCTGCACTGCTACCATTACTACTTCCTACACCATTTCCTACGTCATGGACCTGATTCCCTCCCTTCCCATAGCATTTTAGGATTGTAGATACCTTAATGTAATTCCCATAAACAGTTCCCAGACTCCAGACTGCTCGCCTTTACTACTTCCTTCACCACTTCCTACGTCGCGGACCTGTTTCCCTCCATTCCCATTGCATTTTAGGATTGTAGATTCCTTAATCTAATCGTCATAAACAGTTTTCACACTCCAGACTGCTCGCCTTTACTACTTCCTTCACCACTTCCTACGTCGCGGACCTATTTCCATCCCTTCCCATAGGATTTTAGGATTGCAGATTCCTTATTCTAATCGTCTTAAACAGTTTCCACACTCCAGACTGCTCGCCTTTACTACTTCCTTCACCACTTCCTACGTCGCGGACCTGATTCCCTCCCTTCCCATAGCATTTTAGGATAGTAGATAACTTGTTTTAATCGTTATTAACAGTTCCCACACTCTGCACTGCTACCATTACTACTTCCTACACCATTTCCTACGTCATGGACCTGTTTTCCTCCCTTCTCGTAGCATTTTAGGATTGTAGATACCTTAATGTAATTCCCATAAACAGTTCCCAGACTCCAGACTGCTCGCCTTTACTACTTCCTTCACCACTTCCTACGTCGCGGACCTCTTTCCATCCCTTCCCATAAGATTTTAGGATTGC